ACTTTATGCGCCTGGCTACATGCATTTTGAGGACTACGTCAAGTTACTTCAGAAGTATCTCAGATCGGAGTACCCGATCTTGCGCGACGTCGCCGTCGATGGCTTATACAACATCATGAAGAGAAACCCCAATGACGTGATCAACGCTGCTGAGAAGGGCTTTGAAGATCACCTGTGGCTGGTGCTTGATACCGCGCCAACACATGATGGTATCAGAAACATCCTGAGGAATTGGATGCGACAGACTTGTCTGACTGATACCGGCCTCTGGCTTCAAAGATTCCAGACAGTGCTCAAGATGACTAGGGCCAAGGCCAAGGAAGAGTCCGACGTCGGGCTCAAGAAGACGGGCGGATTGCCGGATCTACAAGACGAAGAAGTGGCTGGCTTTGCAGGCACTGCGAAGGATGATCAAGATAACAAGGCCGGTGCTGAAGTCGAGCCTCTCCGATGGCAAGTTACGACGTTTGCCATCGGCTGCATTAACGACATGTTTGTCCTCATTGCGAAGGACGTGATGACGAACGGCGAGTCCGCTGCGCAGGTAGCGCTCCAGAATAGGATTGGTGATGTCGTCCGCATGGCCTTCTCTGCGTCCACGTCTAGCGTCCTGGAGCTACGCGTATGGGGTCTCAAGATCATCGGAGCAGTCCTCAAGATGTTTGGAAGAACGCCTGACCCTGACTTTGATGAGGCCATGCTTCTCGAGCAGTACCAGGCCCAAATCAGTTCCGCGCTCACACCTGCCTTCGCCGCGGACTCGTCTCCTGAGCTCGCTTCTGAGGCTGTCAACGTCTGTGCCGGCTTCATCGCCACGGGCATCGTTACGGATGTTGATAGAATGGGTCGCATCCTCAAGACTCTGGTTTCTGCTCTGGAGAATTTCTCCAAGGAGAACGAGAATGCTGGCATTGGCGAGCTGAAGGGCCTCAGCTCCAATGCGCAAGTAATGGTCAAGATGTCCGTCTTCTCGGCCTGGGCAGAGCTACAGGTGGCCAGCTCGGAGCAGAAGTACCTGCTCGATGTGCTGAAGCCTCACATTGGAACATTGACGCCGCTGTGGCTGGAGTCGCTGCGGGAGTTTGCCCGGTTGCGCTTCGAGCCTGACATTTCAATGACACTTGGACCCCCTTCATTGTCTGGCAGTCTCGATACTATTTACGCAGCTCTGAACAGAGAGACTCTGCTCAAGTTCTATCAAGAGTCCTGGCTTAAACTTGTCGACGCTATTGCGAGCTTGATCGAACAAGACAGCGAGTTTGTGTTTGATGCTCTCGATGGAAAGGAGTCTGAGGGGCTGAGCACGAACGGTCACACCAAGGGACCTGACATCAACTACCGCGACGAGCCGGTCGCATTCTTTTTCGTCCTGTTCGGAATCGCATTCGAGGCTCTAGCTACGCGCCCTGGTCAAAGTGACTCGTTGGCCACCCAAGAGCAGAACCTGGCCATTCTGCAGGCCCTCAAGAAGATTCTCCACCCGAGTGTATCTGGTCATGCGATTTACAGAGAGGCAATCTTCTCGGAGACTATGGATTTGCTTGATAGACTGGTGTTGACAGAAGGACTCGACGTGCAAGGCGTCATTGTAGAAATTGCAAGGGCACTCTGCGTTTCCCACCCCTCGGCACGCAAGAAGGACTCTGGCGATGACGGTGATCTGTCAGACGACATTGATCAGCTTTTCGAGCTCACACGCATCATCGTCCTGGTCCTAGCTGGCCTGCTCCCCAACCTCACAGAGGCAAACCAGCCCGGCCGTCACCAGATGACTGAGGAAGCCGTGCTTCTCATCCGCTCATCCCTAAATGCGCTCGTTGATGCTGCCGAGGTCTTCCCCTCCATCATCAAGACCGACCTTCACGCCTGTATCATTCACATCCTGGCTACCATCCTTGCGACTCCCGGATGTCAGGAGGTCATCGTTCCGCAGTCGCTACCCACCCTCAAGCGCTTCGTCGCGAGTATGACGAAATCCCGCAGGGCGAGCAGCGGCGAGGACGGCAGTGGCCCGTCACCCACGGATGTACAGCTGCAGGGTTGCCTACGCCGATTCCTTTCGATTTACCTTAACGCGCAGAAGCGAGAGGTGCCAACATCCCTCACCTGTGTCAAAAATTGTCTACTCGCGAGCACCATCCTATTTACGGGCGGCACGAACCACCTGGCGGCGAACGATGCTCTTGTGGCAAGATACCTTGATGAGGTGGTCGACTGCCTGACGGATCGCATGGTATGTAATTATCTGAAGATCCCTTTAACGCATCGAGATATGTGACTAACATTCGGATGAAACATTAGACGGCCAAGATCGCTGCCAACTGTATCAGGTCGCTGCTTCTGCAGGGCAACCCTAATCCGGCAGACCACACCATTGCGCGCTACCTCCTCCCGCGCCTCGTCGCATTTGTGACCAACACGACGCCAGAGGACCCGGAGAACGCCCGCTCCATGATTGCGCACTCGCTGAGCCAGTACGTCGGCGTGGTACCCAGGGACCGCGTTCCCGTCGCCATGGCGCTCGTCCTGCCGACCTGCCTCGCGCGTGCCTCCTCGGAGGGCGAAGACTGCTACAGGGACACGTCGGCACGGCTGCTGGAGCTAGCGGCCATTGACCAGAACGCGTTCCGCACCGTCGTGGCGAGCATGAGCGACGGGCAAAAGGCCTTCTTGGAGGAGGTCATCCGGTGGGGACGGCAGCAGGGGCCTACGGAACAGGCCGCGAGCGGGGCGACGGGTCAGCCGAGCATCGCGTTGAAGATGGACTTTGGAGGGTGATATGTGATCAAGTTTTTATGGTTACTTTTTCGTCGTTCACCCCATCCGTGAGTCCGTGACGAGGAGAAGTAGCAGAGTTATACGTAGTAAGAGGAGGAACACTGGAGGTGAATGCGGCGTTGGGAGGGCGGTAGCATTGGGGGAGGGAAGATGGCATTAGACAGACGCGACTTGCTGCCGGGTACACTTCCCTGCAGGAAGCCTGAGGCAATAGAGAAGGAGAGGTTTTTCAAAAGTAACTGTTACAAAAGAGCAAGAATACATGCCGGCGAAGCCCATGGGTTGATCCTCGTGTTTCCGTCCCCCCATCACCTAGGGATTACTGCTTTCCTATTCGTTGCGATGTGTCAGAACTACGGAATACTGGATGGAAGATGTCGCTTGCCGGAGAGGGCAGGGGGGGAGCTAGGGATCATAAACGTATCCCGTCAACTCGGATCTCGCATATCCACGGTTTTGGAAAAGAAAGTATGCTACTGTCGGTCGCCGTCCTTTCTCATCCGGCGTGGAAGGGTTCTAGGTGATTTGATAATTCTCATCCGGCCTGGGGCCTTCTCCAACGAGCCGGCTGGTGTTCCTTTTCCCCCTTCGAGAAAGAGGGCGGCGATGGTGGTGGTGGTGGTGGTGGTGGTGGTGGTTTACGTGCAGGAGGAGAGAGAGGGTGGCGAGGGGGGACAGACATCACGTCACGTTTCACGGCTTCTCTATGTCTCGAGGGGTCTAGAATCAGAAAAGGGGTCCAGAACCAAGAATCAAGAAAGGTGTGGCGTTTCGTTAAAAGCACCATGCTTCGGCCGAAACCCGAATTCTCTCCTGGTGGCTAGCTTATGTCGAATGGTCTCTGGCTACAGCGGACTCCTTCGCACATTGAATTCCTTGTCTTCGTTTTCTAGATATCCCAACAATATTTCGCTAAACATTGCTCTCCTTTTGGGAACGGGCCACCATAAACGCCACTGTTTTCGTACAGAGTAGGTACCCCTACATGAGATACCTTAGATAGACAGGAAGCAGGAGGCAGGCAGAAGGGGAAATGTAATCCGTCTTACCGTACAGTAGATGTAGGCTTTTACGCCAGCGTATATGCAGGTAAGTAACCGCGTAACGCTCGCCCGTCCCCCTCCAACCCGTGCCGTGCCATCGATTTCATCGGCATGAGACCGGGGACTTATCGACTCTATACTTCGTCTCCAAACGGGTAGATGAACGGTGGAGGGAAGCAGGCGGACAGAAGTTTGGCGGGAGTGAATGGGGATTTGGAATTGAGGAACACGTTTCCAAGTGTACGTTTGACGTATATGGTCCTGCTTCTCTGGATTCGCGCGCCTGGATCTGGGCCACTGCCAGTATGTGTGCTCATGGATTTCCCCAGTCTCCTGGACCAAATGGAACGTGGATATGCTCTGGATGTTTGCTAAAGCATTACCAGGATCAGGCTGGGTTCGTGGCCGGAGCCGAGACCAACGAGGTGGCAGACATACATAGGTAGTTGCATGAACCCTCTCCCAAGTTTGATGTGTTGGTGTGGTGAAGTCAATGTCGTCACTCTAGGTTTTCCTTTCTCTTGCCTAGCCTCGGGCCAGAAGCACCGGCTAGGCTTGTATCCGTACCGATGCAGCGGTATGGAGGAACACGCAGCATGTAGCCATGCGCAAGCGCGCGGCGGGTATTGGCGACGTGGCTGTTTTCCAAGACCATCCAAGAGACAAGAGAGAAACCGGGGTGGAGGGAAAGTGAGGCCAGATCCTACGAGGCTTATCACATCTCATCGAATCAGCTACACCATTACCGGGACCAGGTTTTCATACGCCAACAAAAGGCCATAGACGGTGTGCTGGGATCCCCTTCTTACATTATTGTCGAGATGAACAGGTGGTCCGTAGCGCAGAAAAGCAAGTGCATGTTTGCTTGCTTGGTCCAAGGAGATCATCTGTCTGGGCCACTGGTGGCTCTGTTCTGCATCCCCTACCACCACCTCTTCTTTCCGGGAGCTGCCGTGAATCAAATGCGGGTTTGTGGAAAGTGGGCAGCTGCGGCACGGCCTTGGTCGGTATGGCATTCGCTGGTGTGCCAAGGTGAGGAGAAGGAGGTGACGGATCGTAAGTCTCGATGAATCAGATTCTGGCAGTTCGTCATTCTCCTATTGCTTTCCCAAATGTATCCCTTTTGTTACCCGAGGGGCCGAGGACTTGTCGTCGGGGAGGCGGACGTTGTCACCGGATTCAAGCGTCCACAGCTCCGTGACTGCGACCGCATATTACAGGCGTATGTACGTAGAGTCGGGCGGCATATGCATAGCACTTCGCTCCCTTCACTGCCTGTCGCTTTACCTCCACAGTGATCTTGCTCTCTTTTCTTTCTTTTTTCGCCCTCCCCTTTGAGATCGCCTCACAGGATGAATCAGGAGTAGTTATAGATCGTGCAGGTGAGACAAAAGCTTTCATCAGCCTAACGGCTTAGAAGACGTTAGTCCTCTCCCAAGCCGGCCCTCCACACTTTTACGACGTACCCGATGGATGCGGAGTTGACAAGGCGGATGGCTGCATAAGACCTCTGCCCCGTGTTACTACCACTAGACTGGCGTCGGCTCAAATTCCGAGGGGTTCTGTAGTCCGTTCACGGGCGAGGGTTGTACGAGTATGTTATTACGCACTTCAGCCGCCTTGGGATGCATTGCCTGCCGCAACCCGGGCTTTGTAGCAATTTAGAAGCCGATAACACCCCATCTTTACTCTTCCGTGTATCTTGAACGAGTGTCGGCTGAGTTGATACTCGTGGGAGGTATTTGATCCGGGAGATTTGACTGTTGGCAGTGAGCCCTGTTCCGCATCTGGACGCGTGCTTCTCACTCGCTACTCCGGGTCACCAATCTCGGTATCCCACCAACCAGAGCCCCCAAACTTCATCAGTCGCTATGTCTAGCGCAGGATGCAGGATGTAACAACTGCGTTGGCTCCCTTGGATGTTGCTTGGCCCGAGGCTGCGTCTGAGCCGTACACGCTGTTCGTTCGTTCAAGATTCGTTTCGGCCATCACGAGATTTAATCAACATGCATCGAGTCGCCCGTCTTTGCCTTGTAGGTCCAATCGGGAGGGTTGGAGTAGTCAAATCGACCAAATTGCCAAAATTGTCCGATTCCTTCCAATTACATTATTGGTAATGGTCCCCAAGCGCCATCGGGCGATGAGCGGATGGCGACAAAATCCACAATGCCTGCTTCGTTAAATACCATGATCCGAAAGAAAGTATGAGGGTCCTAGCTAGCACAATAAATGTCTTGCAAATGCAAGAGTTAAGTAGAAAAACTCCATCTCAACAGAGGCACAACGCATCAAGCGCCCGGGGACAAGTCGTTTGATGAGCGTTCGCTGGCTGAAAGCACTGGCAGAGTGCCTTCCTTTCATTGTTTTCTCTCCTTGGACTCCGGTTTAGTACGGCGTGTGCTACCGTCGGCAATCAACGGGCGTTTCTTTGATGCTTGCGATTGATGAGAAGATGACGAATCGCCTGATGGCTGATTACTACTCGACTTGGGCGTTGCCGATGCTTTGGACTTTTCGGTCGATCTCTTCTTTTTTGCCGGGTCGCCGCTCTTCTTTGGACGAGACACTGGCTTTTGTGGTTGTCCTCCGGTGATTCCTTCGCCGATGGAACATGATTCGCTCTTGTAGCTATTCCAGTCCTTTACACCGAGTGCTTCGGAATTGCTTCCTGCAGTATTTGGGGTCTGGAAGGTGGTGTCGGTTTGGCCAGAGGAAGTAGAGTACGTGCCCGGACTAAAACCGTCGTCTGCATATAACATGGCTGGCTGTTGAGTGCTGTAGTCTCGACGAAAACCACAACTATTCTGATCCCACTAAAGGATACGGAACGTCAGTAAACTTCTCTTTATGGGACATTGTCTTGCCGATGGTCTTACCTGAACATACGATGCTTCAGGATAGGAATCATACGAATACGGGCTAGTCTGCTGATAGTTTGGATCTGTGTATTCAGGCCTTTGCGATCTCGTGCGCGTAGATGCTGAGTTCTCGGTGACCTCAACATCCTTTATCATGATGGGGTTTGACATGTTGCGATCGTCAAACATGATCCGCCTGCCGTGGAACACGCCCTCCTTCAGGCGATCTCGAATGTGTGTTAGCGAATGGCTTGACGTCGCCAGCCGATCGGGTACACCCACCACAGGCACCATAGAAATTGTGTTGGCCCAACACCCTAATCCAGCCAGACGTACTAGGTCCAAAGATTTGAACATGGTCGACCACACAACCTTCGCGGAGCCAATCCTTGAATTGCCTCCAATTTGTGTCGAAAGGCAACTGTCTCGTCTGTCAGGGTATCGGCTCATTTGCGGTGTAGTCGGTGTCACGAACGTTTGCTATGGGTATGTAAAAGACTCCGGTTTCCTGACCGGGACGAGCCAAGTACGGTTGCATGTTGATGCGGGACGACGGAAACCAACTCCTGGCACGGGCTCTGTCCAACGTTAGACGCCAACGTCTTGACTTTGACTGGTGGCTGTGTGACGGTACGAAGAATCAACCACTGCCAGGATCTCGTGGGACACAAGATCCAGTGATGAACCACAAAGCCTTGGCCTTCCTCGAATCGATTCGGGCAAACAAAGGAAGGAGGTGATGGTTTGAGGTGGTGAGGAGAGAACAATGGAATTCGTCTTTTATATTGGGCTAGTTCTCTCCATCCTCCATGTTTCCTCGTAGAAACCGCGGAGAACAACATGGCCAATGAAGAGAAATACTTGTCTTTAGTTCGAGGAAAGGGAGATTTCTGCTAGTGCTGCCCCCGGGTTATCCCAGTCTGAACCGGTACTTGGCAGACAGACATTCCATCTTCGTTGGAAGTAGTCGTCCTGGCCTAGGTACCCGAACCCATGTGCTACGCTTTGGGGTTTCCTTGTCTGTGCCAACCAACACATCCGCTGGTGAGTCGGCCGAATGGGTCGACCGGACATGGTATGGGGTCAGCAACGATCTGGTACCGATACCCGCAGTACATGCGGCGCCAAAGAACGTCGCAACGAAAAAGGTGTGATGCAGCTCATTTACTATTAGATCGTGCCATTGAGTTCTCCTCCCTTGTAGCATCGTAAAAATGACAGCCACCATGTGGGGTCCGGCTTGATGCAAGCTTGTTCTGGGCACAATCACCAATCGCGCGCATAAGCTCTTTGGCTGTTGTTGGGTCGAGCAAGACGGCTGCTATCATTATCGAGTCATCCGAAAATATGTGCCGTGAACCTGGTCATTGGAGGCTGCGATGTAAGCTGCAGCCCGGCAGTAGACAGGATTCCTCCCTTAAGTTGCTTGGAAACCAAAGAAACGAGTGAACAGGGCTCCAATTTTTTCTCGATGATAGCCAGAAAGGCTTCCCTTTTCGACTAACTCGTCCCGATCCGGAGAGGGAGCTAGGGACACCATTGGGAACAATGACCAGGGACCAGCGGTTTATCAGATGGTCCATGAACAGCTGAAAGTGCTGATCAAAATCCGAATGCATTCTGAGCCTTTGCCCTTGATCATCTACAGCCAATGGCAAGTTCGAGTGATAGACTCGAGGGGAGCAGGCTCGGACTGAGAAAGTTCCATCATAGACCCCTGCAGTAAGTTGGTTCGATGCTGTGCCGCTGTACGTAGCCTGCAACTCCAACACATTGTAAAGCCTGGGCTTGCGGGTAGTCGATACAAATAAGCAAATAGGCGTCAGTTGAGAGAGGCGGCGAAGGACAACATCCACTAAGCGCGGTGCTGGTAAGCCACGTCAACCTGTCAGAATGATGAAAAATTCCCTAGAGGAGCGCCAGTAAATACCAGAGTTCGAGCGACGAGCAGACGAATTTTGCACAGTTTCGTGTAAAGCCCTGTCCTTGAAGCCATGTTGCGGCTGTCCGCAAGAGATGCGAACGCTTACCACTGACAGTCCTTCCTCGCGAGGATAGTTTGCGCAAGGTGGCTGCGGCAGCAGCATGCTTAGAGCTTGGAAATGACCACAACTTTCTGCATCAAGTCGGTGCGGGTGCTGTATCCATCATCGCGCTCGGCTGCACCACCGCGCAGCCGCGGGTAGCTGGGAAACCAATAAGATCTGCGTGACACCCGCAGGTTTGGGGCTTGTCTTCGGATGGTTGGTCGGGGAAGCTTCTGGTGCAGCCGTCTTGAACCAAAGTGGTGGCGCTGCTATCGATCAAGTCCTTTTGAAGGAGAAGGTGTCGTCTACCTCGGACATGTCTAGACCGGACAGATCCTCGTCGAAATCGTCCAGTGCAGGTGCCTCCATCTGCGTCTCATCCTTGCCAGTGGTCATTGTCAAATCATTGCGCTGCGCGTCTTGCCATGGAGCTCCGGACTCCTCAGCTTCCGCAAGTGATGCCATGAGATGATGCTTGCTATCTCCCAGCAGGAGAACGGCAGAATCGCCAGTCCAGTCGAGCCACGATGCTTGAGGCTTACCCAACACCTTGGCATCGGGCAGCTGCCCTCTGAAGTGAACCGTCTTCGGGCCGTCGGACAAGGGGTCCCAGACGAACACCAAACCTGCGTAGTTGTCTCCCTCGCACGTAACCATGAGCACTTCGCGCTGTTTTGGGTGCCAGGAGAAAGCCAAAATTTGACTGTGGAAGATGAGAACGGCGCGCAGTTCAGATGACGCCAAATCCCAGACCCAAACAGTGCTTGGGCAGTCCTCCAAGGTGGTAGCTAAAAGACTGGATGATGCATCAAAGACGGAAAAAGTGCGGGCTAGCTTGGTGTCGACAATGCCGTTGCTCGCTCGGCCCGGAGCAGATACGGACTGGGTCGCGCGCGAAAAGGAGTGCTGTGAACCTGATTGGGTCGTGGCGATCTCCTCTTGCCAGATCTGGCATCCTCGTGTTAGTCTACGCCAAAATTATTGCACAAAGATAGGTTGTGTCACCCACCTGAACGGTATCCCTCGGAGTAATGGTTGCAGGATGTTCGAGTCTCATCGACTCGGCTGCAAACTTGGTTTCCAGAACGCATACACTGCGAGTGTGGTCGCACACTGCAATGCGAGCGCCGTCCGGGCTGACTTGACAGTGCTTTACCCCAGCGCCGAGTTCGTAATGCTTCTCCTCGATGGCCCAAGGTGAGGGCCCAGACCACGTCTTGAAGAGGTGGCCGTCGGGCGTGTAAAACAGGATTTTGTGTCCTTGAGCCGCAGACTCCCACATAAGGAGCCAGCGGCCGTCCGGGGTCCAGGCCAGTCCTTGAGCATCGACAGTATCGGGCTGCCAAGAGCGAAGGACTTGTCGTGTCTTGGGATGGTGAACACTGGCGATATCTTTACCGGCGACGCGTGTGAGGATGGCCAAATGTCCTGAGCCGGGGCGAAGTGCAAAGCCACGAGAAGCTACACTAGCTTGGTGGAATTTTGGGTTGCTGATCTCGGTGGTTCTCGAAGTGGCCAGGTCGAAGATGGAGAACTTGAGGCCGTAGGATGAGCACATGAAGATCTCGGTGTCGGAAGCGCCAAACTGAACAAAGGTAGGCTTCAGATTAGGGGTTGC